TGTGGCAAAGTTGTGTATTTTAGAGACCTATTCAATGACGTAAAGAAATCGAATACAGCTCTTTTGGTTCTGGAGATATACAGGAAAAACCAAAAAATTCCAAATTATTTTTTTGCCTATATCTTTTTTATTCGCAGACATTTTGAAAATCTGTTCAGATTTTGCTATTGGCACTTTATGTGGGCTCTCAGAATATATCCATGAATCTTTAATACAGGGTGTCATCTGACTTAGGCCACCCCATCTTTGAATTTTTAAATACGGACCTGTATTTTTTGTTGTAGTTTTCGGATCGTTGAAATTAAATTAAATTTTATATTTCGGGATGTTTAGGTAATATTCGATTATAATCATGTGAATTATTCCCATTTAAATTACGGCCCTGGAAATTTATTGACTGAGTTGAATAAAAACATAATAGCTACTTTCACGTCTCCCTATGTATCATAGAGTTTTTCGAGAGTTTTTTAATTTTTAGGTACCTATTCATGTTTTTTCCATTGCTTTGAGCGGTTTCTACATACCTTTTATGATTATTTGAAACATTTCTACATCAAAAATATATCATATGTGTTTTAATAAGCAGAAAAAGAAATGTAATGAAAATTGAAATGAAGTAATTTATATAGGTACCCAAAAAATTATTGGCGCAATAAATGTTAGAATCGGAGTTCTTCCATTTCGAGACATTTTTAAACTCGGTTTTTCATATTATTCATTGCCCTTAATACACTTATTTGCTGCATTGTTGCGAAATCATTCAAAATCCTCAATCTCGTTTCTTCCACATTTTCCATCTCTCTGCCAGCGTAAATCCTATTTTTCAATGTCCCCCGTAGAAAATATTCCTAAATAGTGAGATCTGGTGATCTTGCAGACCATCTTATTGTCCCATTAATTGTCCTTAAATGGAAGAACTCCAATTCGAACATTTATTGAACAATTAATTTTTTCTGTATATAAATTACTTACTTCATTTCAATTTTCATTATAATTACAGTGTTCGTTTCGGATGTTATTATTGCTACCATTTTTTTTCTGCTCATCAAAACACATATAATATATTTTTGTTGTGGATATGTTTCAGATAATCATAAAAGGTTTTTTTATTCGAAGTTCATTGTAGAAAACGCTCAGGGAAGAGGAAAGATTTTTATTACATTCCAATATTTTATGGAGTCAACTCCAAAATTTGCTCAATAATAAAATGTTTACGTTGCCATACAGTATATGACTCTTCATAAAAAAAACAAAGTTCAACAGTCCCCTCGTTCAAGCAATGACGAGATAAATGTTACATTTTTTGATGATATCAATCTCAAAATGTATAGAAATATTGCCTAATCATCTGTAGTTTCTGAGACAAACATAATTTTTATCTCAGATATGAACCATCTTGCACTGTATCATTTCTTGATAACAAATGTCCCACCTAATATCTGCAGATCATTGATTCAATAATGTCAACTAATCGTTATCGGCATCTTCATAAGAAACCACATAATTCAATTAAAATCAATTGATTAAATCAATATATAGTATACTTGTGAGGCACTGTTTGGAACCTTTGGTGTAGTAATTAATATTACTGGAGTTTTTTCCCAACATCAAGCCGTTATTTCAACACCTCGACACGTGTTTCGATCACCAAGTAACCATCTTCAAGAGAAATATTGAACTGATGATCACTTGGTTATCGAAACACGTGTCGCTTCTCGCTGTCATTCCTTATGTATGCTTAGATCTTTAAAACTACGCAACAGTTAAATAAATACTTTTTAGCGCTAAAGCGACCTCTACACATGGGAACCTGGTTCGCCAAACTTGGTTCGCACGAACCATGCTCGTCATTTGTTCTCCTGTGTGTGGTATTTAACGAACCAAGATCGCCACAATTCCTCACGAACTTGGTGTTACATCGGGTTGGAAAATATTTGTTCGGTTTACCGGCGGGGCGCATCACGTTTGTCTGTGTGTGGAGGAGGGAAACCTTTACTCGCCGTTTTCCCCAGTGCCGTTGTGATATGGCGCACGAAAACTTCAAGTCCTCCAAGTTTCTTCCAGTAGCTAGGTAGCGGACTGTAGAAACGAGGCGATGTTTGGCCGATATCGACTTTCTCATCGACTTTTCGCATTGTTCTCCCTAAGATGACATTGAGGTGAGGCTACTGCTTGGTCCACTGCGATCTTTTCTTCTTCTTTCTCGTAAAACCCTCAAACTCATATAAAACAATAATAGCAGCTGCAACTTTCGAAGAACGCATCCCAACTGCTGGAATGAAACTGGCGAGATGGCGAACCGTTGTTCACATTCCCCTACACTGTGGGTAGGTAGTGACGAACCAAGAACTTGGTTCGGCGAACCTTGAAAAGGTTTACATAAAAATCCGTGATGGCGTATGTCTATCTCTAAGGGATAATCCAAAATAACCATTTTCATTTCTTCATTTCTTTACGAACCGATTTTAAACAATGCAGCATCAATCCTTATCCAATTAATTACCTCAAATACATTGTGCATTCAATATAGATCAATATGGCCTTTCACAGCATGTAATTCAAATAAATATTCTCGAAGATATTAGAGATTTAAGATGCAGGGGCATAACGGTTGCGACGGTACCGGCGGCGCGTCAAAGGCCGCGCTTTGCCCTATAGCACTTCATGATTAACAGAGATCGCACGCTTTCATATGTATATTTAGTATCAGCGACCGTGCGAAACCGGGGCGGGTCGCTAGTGACTATAATTTGAACAAGATTCTCAACATTGAAAAAATGAGTCGAAGAGATTGTTTCTGGAAAAGGTTCATCCCTCTATCGACCTCAACTAAAACACCTCAATGAAATATATGCTTTTCTCACAAATTCATTTTCTTTTTCCGCTTCACCAGTTTAGTGGAAGATGACCGTTTGGCGGTAGTTGGCCATTTTTCGCTTGATTATGGGTTGTCATGTGTTGCGTATCTCTACGCTAGCTTGGCTGAATACATTGTTGGACAACATTTATGCGGCTTCTTTGCATTTCCTCCTAAACCGATGTTCCTCCCTGTGTATGATTTCAGCTTGGGACCACTCGATGGGTTTAATACTGATCTACTATTCTTGATTTGCTGGTTTTCCCTCTCTGTGTGTGTTTCTTGTGCTCGACAATGCACTCCAAATTATACAGTGGAAGCTACCCGAAGACTGGGACCTGGAAGCTGAATCGAATTTGCCTATAGAAGTAAATATGGAATCACTAGGATGCTGTGTACGAAACTGAAAGACGAATTCTTTAGACAAGATGAGGAACCTAATAATAGTAGCCGAATTTCTTAATTTACTTCTACTTACGGCGTGTTCTATTATGTTTTTCATCCTCATAAGGAGTCTTTTCACAACGTTTCGGCAAAGTTTCATTTGCCATCTTCTGGTGATGTCTGGAGTTTTATCTGTATTGTCATGTGCTGAGTTTTGCTTCAGGGGTTGAACAGTCTGCTTGCTTTCGTGAAGAGATAAAACGGATCCCCATGTTGTTGGTAATCTTTGCGCATCATCCCTCTTATTCAAATTACTTGGTCGTTTTTCAATTTCGAAAGCCTCTTTCATTGTTCGAGAGTAGAAATTTCCATTGTGTTTTTGTGTTCTCGAAATTGATGTTGTGTCCTGTCGCCAATACGTATTGGAAGAGAGAAGACATGGTGACTTTTCCCTTCACTGCTAGTTTGTGATCATCTTTACGAATGTTGATTCGCCTGTTGGTCTGGCCGATGTAAGTCTGGTCACAGTTGTGACATGGTATTTCGTAGACTCCTTGGAACTCAAGAGGTATCTGATCCTTTGGATCACGGAGCATAAACCTTTCTGTCCGTTCTAGTACGAATTATGTTGCTACGTTGTGTTGGCGGATAAGTCTGCTGTTTTGTCTGTTGTTCCTTCAATATATGGTGGTGTAGTTGCTCATTCGTAGAGTGGTCTCGATGGTGTTCAATTCTTGTTGTTTGTGTTCGTTATCTGCCACTCTCCTTGAACGTGTAATTAGTGTTTTTGCCACCGAGTGAATTTGTTTTGGGGGGTGCTGAGAGTTTGTGTTTAGGTATCTATTAGTGTGAGAGAAATGCGAGATGATTTACCCTCAACTTCTTTCGTGAATTTGATCCGTGGATGGATTTCATTCAAGTGATTGAAAAACTTTAAAAGTTCCTAGTGTCCATTTGACCAAATCACCGAAATATCTCAGCCAGAGTTTGGGAATAAACGTCCTGAGAAGGTTTTTCCATTTGGAAAAACTTCCTGAGAAGGCTTTTTCATTTGGAAAGAGTTCTCAAACAATTCCAGATGAAAGAGTTCTCAAACAGTGAAGTTTGAGGTGTACTGAGTTGAACCTCAAAACGATGAGAACCTAGACTCTATCCCACTACCCCACATAAACGTTTGTTCCTAATATATTGTTATACATAGCTGAATATGTTATTACAGTGTCTACAAAAATCGATGAAATCGTGGAGGTCCATATTTGAAAAAAAGCTGATGATGAAATTTAATGAACGAAACGTCGCATTGCAAAATGGTTTATATCAGATTATCATAAATATGAAACAGTATTGAGAGTTCCTTCGCTTTTTTTAAATCTTTCGAAAGGGAGGCGTTAGAGCCATAAGAACGAATTTTGACAATTTTATACTATCCATGATAATAATTATAGGATTCTATTATTATTATCATTATTAAAGAAAATTTTGGTATTTTTAACGACGTTGTAGGTCTTACCATTTCCGAGATATGACATGAAATGGTATTGTATTTATTTTTTTCGTTCCGTTCTGTCCCCCAACGAAATGACAATGAATAATACTTTAACTGTATGTCGATGATTTTTCTTCTCAGAATCGATATCATACATTCAAAATCAGCAAAAACAATTGCATAAATGAAAGAATTCAAAACATTTGTTGATAACCACAATACTTGAAGATAACGAGATAGATTACTCGTTTGAAAATAAAATAAGATCGATATTCAGCGCCAGTTGTCCATCAATTGTTTGTGAGATTTGCCTTTGACATGTCGACTGAGCTATCTGAGACGCAAAAACGCCTCATCAAGGCCATAGCCGATCAAAATGGTTTGACAGATTACCAGGTGGAAGCCCAATCTGGCTCTAAAAAAGGTGACAACTATTTTGGAATTATAACATCTGTTTCACTCAAGGACAAGAACAAAAATATAGAGCTAATAGGCAAGTCTGCCCATTCTGGTGAGGAATTCCGAAAAAAGACCCCTATTCACGCACAATACGTTAGAGAAAGTCACCTTTACGAATCAGTTCTGAGCGAGTTCAAGAAATTCCAAGAAGAATATGCTATTCCAAACCCATTCGTTGGATTTCCTAAGAGAAAATTTTTCTTGAATATAAAAAAAAAGAAACTGATGATTTCTTATGAGAAATTGTTACCTAAATTATGATTATTTTGTCAAAAAAAGTTGGTGATTAACAAATGCGTTTTTATACAATATTTTCGAAAGTTTCGAAGTTCATCAATAATAATAATAATAATAATAATAATAACAGCATTAATAATTAGAATTCCGAAATGGAATCAGTTATCTTCATATTTGTTTTTTCTTTAGTACCCCAAAACAGCAAATATTGAACAGGTAGGTACTAAATCTTCACTGAGCTCATTTAGAAAGCAAGAAAGCCCCAGCAAATTATATTTGTTTTTATTTTTCTTTTAGATATTTCCTCATTTTTTCATCTCAGCATTTTTCTACAGAAGAAATGTTGAGATTCAAAAAATACTACTTGTAAAAACTGAAAAAGAGCTAAAATGTGTCTTTGTGATGATGCGTTTTTGAATCTCTGTATATGTATCTGTAGAGTAGGGAGGGCAGGAATTGGCTCTGTCTAATGTTCCACATATGAAGTCTAGCTAGAAAATAACGGAACTGGCTTTCTGTTAGACAAACGTGCCTCAAGGTCAATATTGCAGAGTCGTTTGACACCCCTCTCCACATTCCAGCCGGTTGGACGACACTAGCTTGCTCAGCTGTGCCACAGCCGTTGAATCGCACCATGTTTCTGTCGCTTGATGGAAAAATGGTAGATGTTTCAATTGAGCATTAAATATATGCCACGTAACAGGTTGTCGAGAGCGAGATATTGAAAATGATCCATGCACAGCAAGTTCCTCAACTTCAACTTCAAAACAGTGAATAAAGGATGTTCTGTATCTGTATCTATAGAGAAAGTGCACCTCCGTGGAGGTGCACACGCGAGGGAGCTTTCCTGCAGGGGCAGCCGGTTTCTTGCCTTTATTCAAGGCGGAGCTCTTGGCGCCCTCCGCAGGAAGTGACCTTGCTGTTGGAGGTGATCTACTATGTCTAGCCTCATTCAAAACGGTAGATTGGGGTAGAAATTTCGGTTCATCCCCAGCCACCGCCTTAGATTGAGGTGAGCACTTCTGTCCAGCCTCGGGATTGGTTTTTGTTCTTGTTGTTTCTGTTGTTTCATTCATGTGTGTTCCTACGAGTAGCAAAGGAAGAGTTGGTCACCTCTGGCAGAGCCCCATATTACCAGAGGTAGGCTGATTACAATGAGGTTTCACCCAGTTCCCCAAGGGGACCGTTCGTGACGGCATATCACCCTGCGGCCATTCAGCTATGGGCACGATTCCTTACACCTTAGCTTGGGTAAGCTGGTCCACGGTGGCAAGTTTTGCAAAGGCTTTTGGGGGTTTTAGTTCCGTGCATTTTTGAATATATAGGCCTCAATAAACTGTAAAGTAAACCATAAGAAATACTTTTTATTTTTTCAGGATGGAAGCAACACATCCAAACCAACAAAAGTATGTCTTATCGACTGGCAGCTAGCGAAATTAGGTTCTCCGGCGAAGGATATGATTTATTTCTTCATAGTTCATAGTCCCAAAGATATCTTGTATGACTATAAAGGGTATCTGAACTTTTACTACGAAGTCTTGTGCAGACACCTCAGGGATTTCTCGTGTGATCCTGAAGATCTATTTCCATTCAGCACTTTACAGAAACATTGGAATAAATTTCTTACGTTCGGATTAATGATATCCATTATGATACTAAAAATGATGCTTAGCGACAGCGAAGAGGCTCCAGATTTTGAAAAACTATCTGATGCTTCGGGAGATATCTTTGATTCTCAGAATTTCTCTATTAAAAATGAGTCTGAATACCATAGGCGTGTTAGAGATATTATCGAATTCTTAGTGGATAGTGGTCTTCTCTGAGCACCACTGGCTAATAAACATTTCATCATAATATATGTTCAATTTACGATAATCAAGAGCTTATACAAGATTAGATAAAACTTTTATGTTTGATCTTTTCTATTTTCTATCACAACTTCCACCTCATCTATTTCAATATACCCCCTTCAACTATCCTTTAGTTCTCAATTCGAATTTTCCACTGTTCGAAATGATAAAAACAGTGAATCCTTTCTTCACTTTCCAGAACATAAAAAAGTCACACGGAGCTAGATCTTGTGGGAGAGATGGATGTTTCAACACAGAGATCTCATGTTTGGCCAAAAATTACTAACAATCAGCATTGTCCTGATGATAATAATGATAAAATAGGCAGGTATGAACAAAAAGAAATGCAGAAATGAATATGACAAGCTACTGAAGCCCATAGAGTTTGTGCATGATGTTTGAATGCACGTCAAACAATGAACTGAATGAAGACTTGAAAATTGTGTTGAAATGCAAAACAGAATATGTTGTCAAAGAAAAAAGTACAGTTCCCTGAGGTATACCTACATTGATTTGTAAGGTTGCACTGAGCTTCCTATAAATTTTACCAGTTAGCGTTAGTTCTTTCAAATAATCCTGCAGCAGTTCCAAAGCATGACTTCTAATGCCATAATTACACAATTTTTCGAGTAGGATTTCATGCGACTCGGCGTCGAAAGCCTTCGCCAAGTCCATAAATACCACAAGACATTTCAAACTTTTGTCCAAGACCCGTATTGTTTGTTCTACGAAGTCGGGTTCGGCATTTTAGTAGTTGATTTGTTTTTGAACTCGAATTGTTGTGTGCATAGTTTAGCAACATTACAGATGACAGAAATTGGTGTTAGTTTACCAATTTTCCACTGGGACGATATGGAATAATCGTCTATATTATTTCCACATTCAGAAGAATACAATAAATCTTTGATTTCAAGATTTATATATGGAAATGAAAGGCGAAGTTTATTTTCTGTTGTGAAGACAGGACAGAAAATATTCTTCCACTTGACCCCATTACCCTTTTTGTAACAAAAATTTATCAAATGAAGTAGTAGTTTCCATAAATATTTATGCATGTGTTTTATGACTTTGCTAGTTATTTCGTCTGGACCTGGTGAACTATCGTTTTTATGCTTTGAAATCAGACATATCATTTATTTTCCGTCACTGGTTCAAACATGAACATGATTTACCTACACATTATATTTAATCGCTTCCTTCCTTCCTTTGGAAGGGGAAGAATTTATTTCGCCATCAGTGTTGCAGAAGAAGATTAATAATTGTTGTTTTTGTGTTGATTTATTTCGTTTGAATATTGAATTTTCATAAAAAGCCAGTTGATTGTCAAATAATTGTCACACACTAAAAAAAAATAAAATTGTATTTATTACAAATTATAGATGAAAGATGATCATTAGAAAGATTGAGGAGGATTTTTAAATCATGATTGATTTTAATATTAGCTTCTGCAATTCAAATGCACAGTGAATTTGCGTGTCAACACCAAACATGTGGTAATTATACAATAGGTCAGATGATTATGAAAATTGGGGGTTTACAATGTATATAAAAGTGGTCCCAACACACTACCTCATGGAACCCGTTGGTGAACCATTATGCTATTTGATATTTCATTTTCGAACACACTGAGTTCGGTTTGATAAAAATTATTTGAGAAAAAAATAAGTAGTAGTACTCAAACCAATAAAATGTAAAATTGCAGTTAATATTTTATGATTCCAACTCTGTCAAATGGTCTAGAATAATCAATCAATACCAAAACAATCATCTCATTTTCATCCAAGGCATACAAAATATCATCCGTTATAGTTGCTAGAACTATGGAACAGCTGTAACCATATCTGAAACCAGACTGATCCGATGGTAATATTTTATTGATTTCTGTATGCATCCCCATCTGTTTTTCAATTATTTTTTCCAATACCTTGAACAAAACAGGTTTTGGTAGCGATTCCAGAAGACCAAGAAAAGAAGAAGTGCGTATGTAGGTACCACTGCATATAAACATGGAAAACAAGAGAAAGCATCTATTGTAAAATGAAAAACCATAAAATGAAGAAATGTAAGTTTTTCCTAGCATTGTACATAGATGAAAGACTGGAATGGGTAAGAAAAACAAAAATGTCCTTCTGTTGTATTTCACCTGACCATTTCTTGATCGGTACCTCTAGTTTTAGCTGCATATTCAGTTAGTTTTCTGAAGATTAAATGGAAAATCTCTAACAACTTGCCAAATATGAGTAGATGAGTGAGAGGGTATTTGCCAACGATAATTTGGAGAACTGAAGAGTTCCAGAAAGTCCTTCGGAATATCAAGGTTGGCGAAATAGTTGTTTCAGTTGACAGCAACCTACCACAAAATCACTGACCAAAAGGACAGAAAGGAGCAGATGATCAAATACGTATGGTAGACGGTAGAACCAAATCTGGAGTTTAACTAGATGTGAAAAATGAACATGAATGAAATGGAGAGTAATGAAGCAAGGTGCCATTACTAGGGGAGTGTTGTAGAAGAAGAATATTCATTATAACTGTTGTGTTTTCTTGATTTAATTTCGTTGTATGTTGAATTTTCGTAAGAAGTCTGTTGATTGTCAAATGAATAACTACTTGAAAAGTTGTCAGTCACTACAAAAACACAATTTCATGAAGAATATTGGATCTATATAATGAAAATATAACTTCTGTTAGTATTTGGACTCTCAATAGAATGTTTGAAAATATTTGGGTTCACAATTAGTTTCATTAAAAATAAAAAACTGGCCGTTCTCAAACCAAAATATTTCCCACCAAAAATGTATCAGTGACTCACCAATCTCCCCAATTCGCTAAAAGTTGTCGACACTTCTTGATCCTGGTTCATGCCGCGATATTTTAATGAAAAAATCAACTGAACTAACGACACCAAATCATTCTTTCTACACCGACAAAAAGACACCGCGGATCCGCTTTATTAAAAACCCTAATTGACTGGAAAATCCCTTTCAGGGTTTCGACTGAAAGCGGCGGTGACAGGAAATATGATGTGTCTGAAAGACCAAGACTCAAAGCACCTGCTGAAACTGAAATAACGTGGAAGCGGTGGTGGGAGTTCGACAAGGACACGCCCCTGGGGTGCAGAAACGCCCCTTAGGGACTTTTTCGAAACATGTACTTGTTCGCTAGGTAAGGATAATCACAGATCAGGCACATAAAGTTTATTGTGAAAATTACGCTTCTCCTAAATGAAAACACTGTCTCTCAACTGACGGGCGTTTCGATATACTAGTTAGCATCTGGAGATATCTGAAACTTAATGTTTCAACAAAGTTAGATCCTTTTATCTAGACTAGACGAACGATTATGAACCCTATGAGAGTTTTCAGTATTGGTTATTGCATAAATTTCTTGTATCCTAAGTTATACAGAGTGTTTTTTAAACATGTGGCAAAAATTCAAGGGACTATTCTATCCTATGCCGATGATACTGCTGTAGTATTTGTGGGACGAACTTGTAATGAATCATACGAAAACGCAAATAAAGGAATGAAAACGATATATAATTGGTTAAGTAATAATCTATTGAGTCTCAACATAGATAAGACTGAATTTATAACTTTCTCTTCAACAAGAAGAGACCAACCTGATGAAAACTTCATTACGATTCACAAATATACGTGTATCTACAGAAAACCAAAACTGCGGATGTTCCCGAATATATAAACAAATACTATCAGATATTTAGGCGTCATGATCGACCAATTTCTACGCTGGAATGATCACATAGATCACATAGTAGAGATATCATACTGACGGTGTACGGTGCCTTGGTGGAATCGATCATTAGATAATGTATCTTAGTATGGGGTGGCTTATTCAAAAAATCACTACATAATCTTGACGTAATACAATGAAAATCGCCGTGAAAAAGGATAGGAGATATTCTGCAGAGTTACTCTACGGACAAAGTGGTTTGTTTAATGTTTATCATAGATTTGTAGTAACCCCACTAACATCATTACACATAAATATAATACGTGAATGACCTCCAACCAAGATTGAGCCATAACCAGAAATTTGTAACTCATTTTGGCCCGAAATTATACAATAAGCTGCCACTCCATATGAAGAATATTAATATTTATTGTAAATTAAAGAAGGAACTGAAAGTTTTCATCTGAAATCATTATGTTCAATTGCAGGACACAACCAATATCAGTCTGTAACAGCCATGACACAAGCCTAGCTTGGGTGGCTATAGATTGTCAAATACGTGGTTCTATGATAGGATTATTAATGCCAATTTGAATTGTAAATCGCAGGGAAATCAAATCATGTAACTGATTACTATTACTTACTATTCATCGGACTATTATGAGGATATTTTGATAGGGCGCTTTGTTTCAGAGATACGGAGCAAAAAAAAAACAATTTATTACCAAAAATTACATGTAATGTTTCTTAATCTACACAAAGGGCAACCTTTCAGTTCATCATAATGATTTATTGCGTAAATTTTTCACAAAGAAAAATGTTTTATTCACCAGTAACTTGTTCTATTTGATAATTTTGTCTATCATAAATCAGAGCTAAGAAATTAAACAGTTCGACTATTTTTTTCATTTGAAATTGTTTGATAACTGGATTGGTTTGAGGAGGGGGTGGTCGACAAGAGGTTATGTTTTACATGGAAATGTGCTGAGGTATTTTTTTCAATATCAAATGAGTTTTTTTGGGTGTCTCATTTTGATGGAAATTCAGTGTATTCTTCATTCTGGTGAAGGCGCCGATATCATCAAACAGTTAAAATTGGCGAAGGTATAGATGTTAATTAAGAGTTTCTGGGATATCTGTAATAATAATATTGTGTTCATATAAAAGTATTTGTTTTGATTTTTTTTCTTTCGTGTGATTCAATGTTTATATGAAATCAGCTGTTTAGAGAGGTCTTCCTTTCAGTTTCATTCAATCAATGCCACCAAAATCCAGGCATCGGTTTTCTCCAAAAAGATGAATGTCTCCCAACTGGATATAATGTCAGGACAGATAATTCCATTGTCTGCTTCGATAAGTTCGTTGTGGATTAA